GGACTAAATGTGCTCCATCGGCATGGTTGAGAGTCACTGCTCGCATTGCTTATCGCAGCCCACTGCGCACGGTCCCTGGTGCTAACCCGAAGTATGTACATACTTTCTATTTCAAACAGGATATTCCTGCAACAGCAATAATTGCCACTTTGCAGTTGCGCACGAAAGCTCACATACTGCATTGGTACTCGATGTGCAGAACGATCACTTACACTAACTTTTCTGAAGGGCAAGGCAGGCACCTCACCACCACCTTGATCCCCAATAACCACGCGAAGCAACGGGCTGGAAGTTAACCCGCCTAATCACGACGAAGCCACATCTTCCGTTAGCATCCGTAGCGGATTGCCTAGCAGCGCCTCAACGCCCCGAGCCAACGCCGCATGCGTTGCAGATCGCTGCATGACCCAGTCATGCGAGCTCCCGGCGAGGTTCCGTGGAGCTCGTAAGCCGCGCATCCCCAGAGGCAACTGAATATTTCGCTGCACAGCACGCTAATGCTTGCGTCGAGCCTTCAGTGCCGCGCCAGCCCACAAAAACGCACACAGAAAGCAAGCGCCAAATCTGGCTTGTGAAATGCGAGCCACCCAGTGGCAGTTCAACGCACGCCCTATGTGGAGATGTTCGAAGCGCATCCGCAGACCTGCCACGCCGCGGCAGGTATCTTGCACCTTACTCGTCGCCGCCCTTCGAGCTCCTACACGGGGGCCCACTGCAAGCGTTCCAGAGAGTCTTCTTGCGCATCGATGCATTCGCCCTGGCGGCGCAGTGCATACTTCCCTAGCAAAAGACAGGTGGCCAAACTAGGGCATGCCGGACGACCTGTAGCATCACTGCGAGGCTAGGATTTAGCGTTAAGCGTGGCGGCTCGCACATGACAGTGTTTGAACTCTGCGGATGTCGCCCAACTTTGTAGGGCCGACACAAGCGTGTTTTCTTTATCGTGAAAATCTGCGGATGGTCATCGAGATCTCTTCTGCACAATAGCCATGTCGCTATACGTAGTGTCACACTGGATGGCATTTGTACAGCTGCTGAATTCCAGAGATATGATTCAGGGAGTGACCGCTGCTCCCCCACTTCAGCAGCCATGTGCAACTCCTTACAGCCTGGTATCGAATCCTATTTGCCGCACACGTCGGCTTATTACTCACAAAGCAACTGCCAAACCTTGCTGGTGAAGCTGGAGCTACCCAATGGCACTGCCCCAACAGGTCAGTGTGAAGATGTTCGGAGCGCTTCGTTGTTCCTTTCAGGCGTTGACAACAGCTAACACGCTGCGGTAGCCACTACCGCAACTGCCAAACGCATGGCAGCGATGCCCCCCGACGCCGTTTCTTCTTTGCGCAGGCATCGTCCACCTTACTCGTCACCGCCCGTCGAGCGAGCTCTTACAGTGGGAGCCACTGCAAGAGTTCCAGAGGGTTCTTATTGCTCATTTAGGCGTTCGCCCGGGAGATGCAGTGCATGCGTCCCTAGCAAAAGACAGATGGCCAAACAAGGACACGGCGGACCACCCGTAGCATCACTGTGAAGCTAGGATTTAGCGTTAAATGTGGCGGCACGCACATAACAGTGTTTGAACTCTGCGGATGTCGCCCAAATTTGTAGGGACGACCGTCATACACACGCGTGCTCTCTTCATTAAGCAAATATGCGCATGCTCGTCGGAAGCCCGTCTCCACATCATCCCATCAGCCACCCTGCTGTATGTATTGCCACATTCGATGGGGTCTGTATAGCTGCTGAATTCAAGCGATGCCATACAGGGAGTGACGGTTGCTCTCCCATTTCAGCAGCCGTTTGCAACTTCTTACAAACTGGTATCGAATCCTGTTTGCCACACACCTCGGCTTATTACTCACAGAGCAACTGCCAAATCTTGCTGGTGAAGCTGGCGCTACCCAATGGCACTTCACCAGGCGGTCAATGTGAAGATGTTCGGAGCGCTTCGTTGCTCCTTTCAGGCGTCGACCAGCAGCTACAACGCTGCGATAGCCCTGCCCCGATCTTGCAGACCCAGCAGGAATCTACCTGGACTCTCGACAGTCGTTCTTGCCACTGCCGCGACTGCCGAACGCATGTCAGCAATGCTCGCTGACGCGGTTTTTCCTTTGCGCAGACATGCGCGTGCACACTATGACCCTTTCTGCACATCCACAAACCTGCCACGCCTCGCCAGGTATCCTGCATCTTACGCGTCGCCCCCATTCCAGCTCCTGCAATGGAACCCAGTGCACGAGTCCCAGAGAGCTCTTGTTACGCATCCGCCCTTGCCGTCCAGTGCATACTTCCCTCAGCAAAAGACAGATGGCCAAACTAGGACACGGCGGACTAACTGTAGCATCATCACTACGAAGCTAGGATTTAGCGTTAAGCGTGGCGGCTAGCACATGGAAAACCTCANGCATCATCACTACGAAGCTAGGATTTAGCGTTAAGCGTGGCGGCTAGCACATGGAAAACCTCAAAATCTACGAATTCCGCGCACGTTTCCAGGGCAGACTGAATTTTCTCCCCGAGGCGCCGATAAGACTCCTGCGTACCAGCAAGGCACAACGTATAGCACCGTTTGCCTAGCTTAGTCGGGCGCCCTTCATGGCGCGTAGAAGAACGTCTCCAACACGTCTGAGCGAGGCACGTGCTGTACAGTGGTCACTTTGCAATGCATCGGACGACATGAGGAACCCACCAGCATCAGGCGTAGCCATCCTCAGAGTGCCTTTCACTGCACTTCAATATAACGAGTGCCAAATGTGCCAGGGCAACTACCATGGGGCATGCTCGGAGGGAACAAGTTGGAACACTTCACAAGGATGATGGACTTTTTCCACCATACCAGCGGTAAGGAGTTTGCCATTCGCCGTTGCCTGTCCACCACTCTATACTGTGGCCGCATCGTCGGCAATGGTTTTTCCATACCTGGAGCTCACGCCATGTGGGCTGACGAACGCGTCTTCATTTCGAGGCTCCAGAGAGGCAATGTGCCGCTGTAACGTTCTGCCGCCATGGACAAAAATTGCCGAATAGAAATGCACCCGTCTGCGA